ACAGACGCAAGCTCGGGACAGAAGCAGGAAGCCTGGCCAGAGAGAGGAAGGAGTCGTGTGGGCACTTGAAAGCAGTGGAAACGACTGGATTGTTCTTGCCTGAAGGTCTAGAATTTGTGGCTGCAAATCACAGGCTCTTAGAACTCCGGACTTTTCTTTTTTTTTTTTTTTTTTTATCCTCACTCGAGGATATTTTTCCATTTTTTGTTCAGGTAGAGTGGGAGGGAGAGAGAGGAACAGACAGAGAGAGAAACATCGATGTGAAAGGAACACATCGAGTGGCTGCCACCCGCACAACCGACCAGGGCCGGGGACAAACTGCAACCGAGGTACATGTCCTTAGTGGGAACCGAACCCGGGTCTCTCAGGACCACAGGCTGACACTCTAACCGCTGAGCCAAACCGGCCAGGGCCGGATTTTTCTTAAAGGAGCTTGCCCGAACTTTTTCAAGGTGTGCTCTCAAAACAGCTGTATTTTCTTGATCCAGCTGTGAAGTAGATCAGCCGCCCTTCAGGGACCTGTGGGGACACATCACTGTGACGACAGGCTTCCTGTGCTGGTAGGTTGGGGACAGTGGTGGGAGTTTGTGGGTGACCCCTACTTATTTCTGACAGGACGAGAAGTTCTTTCCCATGCGGGGTTTGCTCGTGATCTGAAGCCCGACTCTGTAGTTCAGTTCTCTCGGATGGGCCTCTGTCCCCTTCCCACATCCCTGGGCCCCCTACCTCAGTGTGGAGAGGTGACTTCTGGGGCTGACGGCCTTGAGTCCCCCTGCGCGCACGGCTTGCCTCCCACCAGCACTCAGGGAGGGAACTTGGTTTTGTGTCTTCTGCTCCCATCAGACAAGAGGTGCTTTTTCAGTGATGTGGTTAAAACCATGTAGTCTCCCCGGCTGGTGTGGCTCAGTGGCTGAGCGTCGACCCATGCACCAAGAGGTTGCCGGTTCGATTCCCGGTCAGGACACATGCCCAGATTGTGGGCCCGATCCCCAGCGGTGGGTGTGCAGGAGGTGCCATTCGATGTTCTCTTTCATTGATTCTTTCTCTCCCTCTCACTTCCTCTCTCTCTAAAATCAATAAAGGGAAAAAAAGAAAAAAGTGCACAGAGTGGAGGAGAGGCTGGCATGGGCCAGGTGAAGGAGGCTTTAACAGGTGTGGTGGGACAGTCTGGGTAACAGGGTCTCAACCTGACCCATTGCATGAGGTACAGGTAGGGAACAGTAGATCATGGAATGCCACCTATGGATTTCCAACTTCCCTCTAGAAAATTCAAGCGCAGGTGTTGAAACATCCGTGGCCGAGGCAGAGGAGACCTGACTGGGAGGCTAGGTCTCTTCGAGAAGTTACTTTCTTCATGTCCTTCTAGCCCATTTGGAGGGTTTCTGGAAAATTCAAGGACGTTTAGTGCCTGGAGAAAGAAGAGAAGTGGATGTGTATGGGCGTGTACATGCATGTGTGTGTTCAAAGCCCTGTTAAATCAGCCTGAACTCCTGGCACCTGCTGGGCGGGGTGAGAGGTGCCAGGCCAGCTGTATTCCCAGGCGGGTCAGACCTCTGTTTCTAGGCCAGTGCTCCGCCCGGTGACAGCTTAGTGAGTCATCGGCTGCAGTGCAGAGGGTCCAGGACAGGTTCCCACTCCTGTGGGTGGGTGCCCGGTGCCCTCCCAGGCCTGGGACATCTTGGGAATGGCACCTGAAGGGAAAAGCCTGGGAACCTCGGGTCTTGGGGCAGTACGGGTCTTGGGAAGTCAGAGCCTCTGAAACCTGGTGAGGCGTCGAGCCGTGGAGCCCAGGCCCGGGAAGGTGGAAGCCAGGGGGGTCCCAGGGCATGTCGCTCTTTGCCGCCATGTCTGGTTCCATTACTCATTCCCAGCCTGTCGAACAGTCTTGAGGTCATCCAGGTGACCCACTGGTATCAGAGTGACTCGGTAGAATGATTTCTAGAATTCCAGATGAATCTTTTCTTTAACTTTTTGAGCAAATATTGGCATGACTCTGGGAGGGCGTGACTTCTGTTATTAAAGTTTATATTCCTTGTGACAAAGTCTAGAGAAGATGGGCGGAGTCAGAATCTTGTGGTTTGGGTGTCGTATTCGGACCTATACCCGAGGACTGTTGGAACGTGGAAAACTGGAGTGAGTCCAAAGAAAAGGTCCAAATGGGTAATGGACCAGAATGTGCTCATGAACAGCTGAAGGACCTGAGGAGATTAGCTGGAGAAGACAAATCCTTTTTTCTCAGGGGATGGAATGAACATTATCTTCAATATTTAAAAGGTGGTTAAGAAAGAGAAATGAGCCCTGGCCGGTTTGGCTCAGCGGTTAGAGCATCGGCCTGCAGTCCTGAGAGACCCGGATTCGGTTCCCACTAAGGGCACGTAACTCGGTTGCAGTTTGTCCCTGGCCCTGGATGGGTAGTGCGGGTGGCAACCACTTGACGTGTCCCTTTCGGGTCAATGTTTCTTTCTCTCTCCCTCTCTCTCCCTCCCACTCTATCTGAACAAAAAATGGAAAAATGTCCTCGGGTGAGGATAAAATAAAAAGAGAGAGAGAACTGAAGTTATATGTGCAGCACTTCATCTGCACCAGGGGTCTCTAGAACCCTTGGGTGGCAGACTTTGTGTAAAGAGTAATTACATCTGTTTGAAAATGAATGAACCGCTGTGGAAGGTCTTCCTTTCGGGGTTTGGAATGAGACACCGGGTGGCAGCGCCAGCAATTGAACAGGGGCCGGCAGGCTCCAGCCTGCGTCCTTCATGCTGTTCTGCCTGGTTGGCCTGAAACTCGGTGCTTACCAGAGAATAAATATACACCGCCCAGGAGAGACAAAGATAATTTGTGTCAACACTGGTTCCTTATTGGAACTGGACATCAGACTTGTCTGGGTCATTTTTTAAACACAATGTCAGCCCTGCCCGGTTTGGCTCAGTGGTTAGAGTGTGGGCCTGTGGTCCAGAGGGATCCGGGTTCGGTTCCCGCTAAGGGCACGTACCTCGGTTGCAGTTTGTCTCCAGCCCTGGTTGGGTCGTGAGGGTGGCAACCACTCGATGTGTCCCTTTCACATCAATGTTTCTCTCTCTCTCTCTCCCTCCCACTCTATCTGAACAAAAAAATGGAAAAATGTCCTTGGGTGAGGATAAAAAAATAAATAAAACAAATACCAGGGACTCATGTTTCCAGTCCTGACCGTCACACACACACACGCACACGCACACGCACACGCACACTACACTCTAGCCGCAGTCAGGAGCCAGAGTGCCGGTGTCTGACCCTCGGAGGTAGTACTGAGGCAGCCTGGCCTCTCTTGGTTTGCCTGTGGCCAGTTCCAGCCGTACTTCTGAGAGCAGGGTGCCAGGGAGCCAGGTCTGCCCTATGACAGCTCAGGAAATGCTCCCAGACGCCGCCATTGATTTAGGACAAAGAGTCAGTGGTTTGCTGCGCTGAGTCACAGTTTGTGCTGGCCCCAGATGATCCAAATCCCTCATTTTATAAGCAAGCTGAGGGCAGGGGCCTGAACAAAGCCATTGAAAGTGGCGGAGCTGAGCCTGGAGGCCATGTCCCCGACTTACGGGGCGGTCTCTTCCTAAGAAAAGCTCCTTTTAGTAGTTCTTGGGGAGAAAGAATTCTAGAATAATGAGGAGTCTCCATGGAGACAATAGAACTTGCCTCTCTGTCTGGACGTCTTCCATTGAGCATCTTAGCAAAACAGGCGAAGTTAGTGTGACCTGGTTCCCTTTCTGTGGTCTGTTCAGCTGTAGCAGAGACACGATGTTTGCTTGGTGATGTACACTGGTTGAGGGTGTGGAGAATAACCTGGACTTTAACACCCAGTCTGTCCCAAGATGGACGTTCCTCTCCGGGGCCCCGCTTCCCTCGTCTGAAAGACGGTCTGACGGAGAAGAGCTCGTTGCTGGGTAGGTGTCGAGACCGAGTCCTCTAGCGCACGCTCAGTTTTGCTGTGTCTGTTGCCATGCCTGCCCGGCGCTTTAGCCCAGGCCTTGGCACAGAGCGGCATTCCATGACTGTTCATTAAGATGACTGATCTGTCACTCAGTCCTCGCAGTCGCCCGGTAAGAGAAATTCCTGTTCTGTTTTGTCATCCGCCAAGGCATAGAGATGACACAGGGCAGGTTCAGAGCTGCTCCCTGCAGCATTGCTCAGGGTCACGGTCACCAGTGGCCCCAGACGCTCTGGACCTGGGTCTGTGGTGAACGAGCTCCCCAGCTGCTCCCACGCGCAGGAAAGGGGCAGCGGAGCTGGCCCTGCTGCGCTTCCCCGGGGGCGAACCCTTCTCTCCCGGGGTGGAAACGACGCGGTTTCTGCCCTCGGACTGTGCTCTGTGGGATGGGCCATGGGGAAGGGAGGGATTGGAAAATAAAAAATTATATGACTTTAAATGTTCTTTGTTTGATCACCACTTGTGAAAATAGTTCCAAGGGGACTCTTAGAGGCCCCTGTCCTGCTAGGCTGGTCCATTGCTGGCTCTGGGGACTGATCCCACCACCGTCTCTGGGGAACTGACCCTGTCAGGAGGAGAGGGAGTCAGACTACTTCTGAGAGCCTGAAGGCAGAGCTGGTCGGAGGGTGGGTGCTCCAGGGGGCAGTGTACCACACCGACTGACGAGCCACTGTCACTGACAAGGGGACTCTGTTGCCCCCAGGGAGCTGACAGTGACCGTCACAGCAGGGTCTTCTCTGAATCTGATCATAGCAGGAGGACAGGACACACTTGTATCTCAGCATCCCAAGTGAAACCGGCTGGGGCCACCAGAATGTGCAATGCAGTTGCATCGCAGGGCGTGCCGGGTAAATTCTGCAGGCTGGGCCCGTGCCACAGGTGTGGGCATCACACAATTAAGGCTGTCTCAACACTGGCAATCCAAGTGATGCCCTGAGTTGTCGGTCACGCCAACGGAATGTGCTGGCGCAGGCGGACGGGCTGGGCTGCTGAAATGAAACTCCGTGCTGACTGCTTGTTTTTACCTCCCCGCCCCTCCCTCAAGGTCGGCCTCCGACAGCTGGACATGTCCTTGCTCTGCCAGCTGTACAGCCTCTACGAGTCCATTCAGGAATACAAGGGAGCCTGCCAGGCGGCATCCAGCCCAGACTGCACTTACGCCCTGGAGAATGGCTTCTTCGATGAGGAGGAGGAATATTTCCAGGAGCCGAGCTCGCTCCAGGACAGGAGGGAACGAGGTCCTCCGAGGGACCCGGCCCTGCCCGCCTCCTCCCTCTCCAGCAGCGACTGGATTCTGGATTCCATCTAGAGGGTCCCCAGAAGGAGGCGCTCACTGCTGGACCCGCAGCCAGCACTCGCTTCTCCTGCAAGAAGGCGCCTCTGCCCCTCCTGGGGGCGGTTCCCAGGACCGTGGGACCAGTGCTCCAGGTCTGTGGGCAGGGAGCTCTCCACGGACGCCTGGTCTGTTTTGATCGCTGAGTTCCTGCTTGGGTGATTTAGAGGCGCTCAGCAGTATCCTCGACACCCGGTACCCAGACCCTCGTGCCGGGACTCAGAATGAGAATACGACACGAGAACCCGGAGAAGATCCTCAGGGGTGTTTCCTGCGGGACGACTTCCAGCCGGTTGCTTCCTGGCCCGCGGTAGATGGGCTTGCCTCTGGTCTGCGATGAACGGAACTAGCATTTCCCTGCTCCCTTCCTTTGGCAACCTTTCTCTGCTGTCTCGTGAGCTTGTTGAGCTCCCTGTCGAGCTTTATTTATTTGTAAGCTGCATTACTAACTGTCTGGATGACTCAGTGAAAGCTTTTTACTGAAAAAGTAAACATTTCAGGTCACACCAATCACTGCATTCTCTTGTCGGAATTGATGTCATCCTCTGCCATCAGCTGTAGGAGGAAGGAAGGGAACACAGATATGCTGACGGGACAAGGTCCTGCTCGCGCCCTTCGCCGTCGGGGCAGATGTGTTTGCTTTAAAAGATTCTGCATGGTAACTAGAATGTTAGAAAGAGACCCCCCTTCTTCACTCAGAACAACGATCACCCTAAGCCTTAATATATTTATTAAAAATCCTTTATGAACACTTTATACTTTGTAGGTTAAAAATGAGGATAAAATGTTGAACTCTGTCTGTGGTTGTGTGTTATTTTGGTCTGAATTTAGAATCATCCACTCTCATAGCTGGCACGCATTGACTCTAATCAAATACGGAAAGAAAATTACAGTTTGTTTTCTTGCCGTGAAGAATGTGAAAGAAGTTTCGTTCCTCTGTTATCTTCTCGGAGATGCACCCACAGCGGACCATTGGCAGTGAGGCCTCAGAGCTGCTCGGCCTTTGAAGACTCCAGACCCCTCACGCCTCTTCCTCCTGTTGGTGCAGTAATTGCTTATTAGCAGCTCTCGGGGGTCAGAGAGGATGTAAAGCGCATCCTCATGAACCGCGTGTGGACGGCCTGTTGTGTACCCGCTCTGCGCCAGGAACTGGGGTGAGGTGCAGTGAGGAGGAAGCGCATTCCTGCTTATTTCCTGTGTTGAAATAAGTGAGGGGTGGCTTTCAGCGCGTGACACTGTTCAGTGGGGACAGGTAAAGTGCTAAGACCAGGGGGAGTCTGATCATCTGTAGAAACCTATTCCTTTGAGGCTGGGCTCCTGCTTAACCTTAGCTCAGCAGTTCTCAACCTCAGTCACTTCAGGATCTTTTAGAAAAATAGCCTGGCTTGGGACCGCCGGCTTCGTTCTGATTTACTTAGTAAGGAGGGGGTCCTGGGCATGTGGAGGGGTACACAAGCAGATCTAGTTGAAAGCTCGTGTTCACAACGTGGTCCGTGGAGCACACAGCCCTGGAAAGACGTTAGAGAAGCACAGGCTTGTGCCCACCCAGACCTGCTGACTTGGGCCTGTGTCAGCAGGGTGCTCCGAGGCGTCTTGTGCACCAAGGTTAGGAAGCTCAGCTGTGTTAATGCGGCGACCGTGAGGGCTGCTGCAGCGTCTGGCAGCAGAAGGAACGGCCTGGCCAGCCTGGCCCCCAGCCCTCGGAGAGCCAGCTCACAGTCGCTGGGTGTGGAGGTTGCCGCTGGCACAGGCTGGGGGCCTCTGGCTCAGAGTGTGTGCTTCCCTGGTCTGCTGCCTCTGGCTCTTCTGGAACCGCTGTGATTCATAGTGCTTTGGGCTTCTGGGCTCTCATCTCGTTCTTGCGGGAGGTTCTATCCATCAGCAGAGGAGGGACTCAAGGCATTCGAGGGGCGGTGCCCTTGCCGCAGGAAGGGCAAGCAGGTGGCACTCCACTGAATTGGTACATGTACATAAACCATTGCAGGTTTTAATGCTCCACCGGAGATAATATCTGTAAATCACCCCAAACTTTCTCTTACTCCTAACGTAGTGTACTGTTGTAAATACAGCTTGGCAAGGGATATTAAAATTTACCGAATCATAAAATGTTTTATAATCCACACTCCTTGCTGAGGTTCCACAGATGATTAGAGAATAAATTCAGCTGGTGTCCCTTATTGCCACCTGGCATAAATCATCACCTTTCGGTTCGGAGTGGGACTGGCCTGCCCCTCAGTGGCCAGCAGAGAGCCTGGTGCACGGGAAGGCGGCCGGCTTTAGCTGACAAAGGGGAAGGAGCCGGGCTCCACTCCGTTAGGCAACACACAGGGTAGTCAAAAACCCCTTTAACTTTCTATGAGTCAGTTAACCAGCCTGTGATCAAGAGTGATGTCATTCATCCAAGTAACATTGATTTAGCTCTTTTCTGGGTCACATTGAGCCCAGGCACCGGGAGCACAAGATGAATCACATGAAGAGTGTCAGCAGATTCGACAGTTCCCCAAACACCTAATACACGAGGTTAAGTATTGTGAACGCGGAAGCACCATGGGCCTCTGAGGACTTGGAGGAGACTCAATAAATACTGGGGGATGTTGGTGGAGATAACATCTGAGCTGGCTTGAAGGGTAAGTTTTTCATGAGGAAGAGTAAAGGCAGATGGAATGTCAGAAAGACTCCAAAAGCTTGTGTGTGTAGTGTGTGCTTTCATAAAACACTTTCACTTCTGTAATGAAACACTGGTTAAGTGATTTGTCGAAGGTCGTGGCTGAATGACAGCAGAGCTGGAGTCTCGGGTGCACGGCGGAGGCTGGGAAAACATCTGGTATGCCGCACAGTGCTGTATTATTTAATGACTTACTGTGTAGGTTGTTTTGCTCGATCTGGTCAGACTTCTACGTGCACCGGCCCATTTTCGTTTAGAGCCTGTGATTATAAACAGCTGACAAGTGTAAGGGTGACAGAGGGTTCTATGGCCACCAGCATCACTTCACTGTAGGGAGTTGGCTATTCAGCTTCATCCTTCTGCCCGAAGAAAATTTCTGATTGTAAAGCCCAAGCATGTCCAGTCTGATCTTCATGAAAGATTGTCCCGTCAGTTCAGATTTGTGAGCCCAGTGTGTGGGTGGTAGAGTTTATGTCAGATGACATCGGAGGCTACACCTGAAGGGCATCTGACATGTGCTAGGTCAGTTTCATGGGGGAAAATGCTACTTGTATGGGCTTTGGAGAAAGTGTCAACAGCCCTCCTGATGCCTTTGTTCTGACCAACTGGGATAAGAGCGCATGACCTTTCACTCCACTTCTCTGGCCACCAGTCAACCGAGGACAGGTCCCTGGATACCCAGTTTCCTGTCTGGTTCGCATGACCCCCTGAAGGACCTGCACACGCAAGCTTGGTATCTATAGAATGTTGAGTGAAACTTTTATTAAATACACCAACAAAGTGATGTTAGCAAAAGAAAAGCATGAGGCAAGAGTAAGGAGGCAAAATTATAGCCCAAAGACGCAGATGCCTGAGAGGGCGGGGCAGTGCCAACCACAGGCAGAAGCTCCCAGCTCCCCTCTCCCTGCGTCCCATTTTATCTCCAAGACAGAGAAGCTTTGATGAGAGTAAGGTGAGTGGGAAGAGGGCCCCAGGAATACAAAAACCAGTTACTGGAAAGGCTGACTTTGGTGGGAGGTGCACTGTGTTAGCAATGACACGGCTGAAGCCGCAGCCACCTGCCCGTCGGAGCACATCCCAGTTCCCTTTGAGAGTCAAGACTTAGCTCAGCTCTGTCCTGTACCTTAGGGAAGACAGCACCTTACCCTTCATCCTCTTCTGCCGCCGGGATGGTAAGATGCCAGAGTGGGGCTCAGGAAGAGTGAAAGACTGTGTAAGGTGGCCTCTAGGATGTCACTGGGTGCGAGAGGAGGAAGCTCCTCTGAAATCCCCAGCACAATGGTGGAAAGTCCTGGGCATTTGGGGTTGAAGGGCAGGCTGGTAACAGTCCACTTATCTGCGATGTCTGTAAGCACAGATGCCTCAGGAATGTAGTTGGGGATGTTTGGAGAGCGAGGAGATGCTCCCCACCAGGCTCAGCTTGCAGTAATGATCGGCTGCATGCTGAAGCCAGCAGCGCCCCCCACCGGCTCTGGTCCTCTGCGGGGCCAATCCCTATTTGTTTTTCTGGCAGAAATACTAGGGAAGGTAAGTTCAACTCAGTGCCCCTGTAATCGTCATACCCCATGTGACGTCTCTCAACGAATTTTTATCAGATACACCCTAGTGTCTATCTCAGAGATCAATAACCTATACAGGCTCAGGCCCTCAGACCAAAGCATTTCCACTGTGCCGGAACCTCAACTGGAAGAGGCCCAACTGAAGACCTGGAAGCTGACCTCGTGCCCCCTGCTGCTGAAGAAAGGCGGAAGCACACCCCACAGGCAGGGGGCGCTCTAGCACAGACGAGCCTGCTTAGAGTCACTTGTACATCACCTTCGTTCCCAAAACTTGTAAGGCTGCTTTGTAAAAATTCACACAACACAATAAGATGCAGTTTTTTTAAAAATAAAAAGTGGGTTTAGAAATCAGGAATACAAGAGCAGGACAGATAAGATGAAGCCGGGCGTCAAGTCAGCACAAGAAGCACCTGTTGTGAGAAAGCTAAGTCCTGTTTGCTTGCAGAACCTAAGTGAGGCAGATTCTGACCTTGAAGTCAAATGAAGGCCATAGTGAATGCCCAGTCTAGAACATTCCTGCCCCAGGTGACTTCTGGAAAGCATGGGAAGAGTTAGAACAGCATTCTTTAAAGGTTGCAAGAGCATCTTAAATCCACTCCCAGCCGACAGGAATTCCGTCATGCGTATCAGTCACGGAGCTTCTGCTCCAACAGGCTAGAGCAGGTGGCGTGTTGCAGGGCCCTGAAGTCTGCCTCCCTGTGCCTTTTCACAGGGGAGTTCTGCTCAAATGTGAGAGGGTGTGTATTTGTGTGTGTGGTGGGGGCTGCTATTAGCCCCCCTCCCCAAGATATATGTGTTAAGTGCCATCTTATTTGGAAAAAAAAAGACTTACCGATGTGATTAAGTTACAAATCTTGAGATCACCGGATTATCCAGGATTATCCAGGTGGGTCCTAAATGTCATCATAGCTGCCCTTATGTGAGACAGGCAGGTTGGACACAGAGGAGGAGCTCTGGGAAGAGGGAACAGATGGATGTGGCTACAAGCCAAGGAATGGCAGCAGCCACCAAAAGCTGCAAGAGGCACCGAATGGACTCCCCTTGGGCGTCTGAAGGGCACGTGGCCCTGCCGACACCTTGATTTTGGCCCAGTGAAATTGTGGACTTCTTGCCTCCAGAACCGGGAGAATAAATTTGCTGTTTTAAACCACCAAGTGCATTATCATTTGTTATAGCATCTGTGGGAAACCGATACCGATTTCTAGGCACCTTTATGTTCTTGCCCGCTTAGTTATTTGTATGTCTTGATGGACATCATCATTCAATCTGCTGGTCGACTACACCATGCTAACCCTTTCAACACACGGGGCTCAGGATACATGTCCTGATGGGCTCTTCCAGGCAAATTCAGTCAACAGGCACCATCCAGAGTTATTATGAGGATTGAATGAGTTAATTATAAAGCCCTTAAAATAGGGCCTGGCACACAGTCATAGTGCATATACATATTTGTTAAATAGGAATAAATAAATAGAACGCTGTTTTGGGTACTGAGGTTCTAGCTCTTGTGATGCTTTTACGCTGTTGGCTCGTCAGGATCCAGATAACATTTTAAAATCAGTCTTGGGTTAAGCACATTTCCCTTTAGATCGTGCTCCCAGTTTTATATGAAAAGGTACGGTGAGATGTGTTAGATATCAAAAAGAGATAGTACAACTTTGAAGGATCACAGCTGTCTCACTGAGGAAAGAATGAAATAAATTACTCATGTTCTACAGCTTCTTTCTTTGGAGACAAAGGACTAATATTAAACCTGGTTTAGTCATTTGAGTTCCCTATTTGTTTAAAACTCTCTTGTTTATTTCTAACTGTATTTGAAGAACAGTAAATTATCTCCTTTCTTAACAAGGGAAATAGATGAAGGGATCCCCCACTAGACCAGGAGTGCAGACCAACACAGACCCAGGGTCCCCCCACTACACCAGGAGTGTAGACCAACACAGACCCAGGGGTCCCCATGAGACCAGGAGTGCAGACCAACACAGACCCAGGGGTCCCCCACTACACCAGGAGTGCAGACCAACACAGACCCAGGGGTCCCCATGAGACCAGGAGTGCAGACCAACACAGACCCAGGGGTCCCCAACTACACCAGGAGTGTAGACCAACACAGACCCAGGGGTCCCCCACTACACCAGGAGTGCAAACCAACACAGACCCAGGGTCCCCCACTACACCAGGAGTGTAGATCAACACAGACCCAGGGTCCCCCACTACACCAGGAGTGTAGACCAACACAGACCCAGGGGTCCCCCACTACACCAGGAGTGTAGACCAACACAGACCCAGGGGTCCCCATGAGACCAGGAGTGCAGACCAACACAGACCCAGGGTCCCCCACTACACCAGGAGTGCAGACCAACACAGACCCAGGGGTCCCCCACTAGACCAGGAGTGTAGACCAACACAGACCCAGGGTCCCCCACTACACCAGGAGTGTAGACCAACACAGACCCAGGGGTCCCCCACTACACCAGGAGTGCAGACCAACACAGACCCAGGGGTCCCCCACTACACCAGGAGTGCAGACCAACACAGACCCAGGGGTCCCCCACTGCACCAGGAGTGTAGACCAACACAGACCCAGGGATCCCCCACTACACCAGGAGTGTAGACCAACACAGACCCAGGGATCCCCCACTACACCAGGAGTGCAGACCAACACAGACCCAGGGGTCCCCATGAGACCAGGAGTGCAGACCAACACAGACCCAGGGGTCCCCCACTACACCAGGAGTGCAGACCAACACAGACCCAGGGGTCCTCCACTACACCAGGAGTGCAGACCAACACAGACCCAGGGGTCCCCATGAGACCAGGAGTACAGACCAACACAGACCCAGGGGTCCCCCACTACACCAGGAGTGCAGAGCAACACAGACCCAGGGGTCCCCCACTACACCAGGAGTGCAGACCAACACAGACCCAGGGATCCCCCACTAGACCAGGAGTGTAGACCAACACAGACCCAGGGGTCCCCCACTACACCAGGAGTGCAGACCAACACAGACCCAGGGTCCCCCACTACACCAGGAGTGCAGATCAACATAGACCCAGGGGTCCCCCACTACACCAGGAGTGCAGACCAACACAGACCCAGGGTCCCCCACTACACCAGGAGTGCAGATCAACATAGACCCAGGGGTCCCCCACTACACCAGGAGTGCGGACCAACACAGACCCAGGGTCCCCCACTACACCAGGAGTAGAGGCCAAGGTTTTAGTTCCAGGTCTGTTGCTATGTACTTGTGTGACCTTGATCAAATCCCTTAACCATTCTATGCTTCAGTTTCTTTGTGTAAGACTGTTTTTTAAAATATTTAAAAAATGTTTTAGTCCTTTTTCGTCTTGTAAATACCTAAAAATATTCTTTCTTTGGCTCATATTACACCACGATGTTTCCCTCCACATTTAGCTCCAAGGGCTTCAAACACTGATGGAAAATCTTCTAACAAAGACCGCTTGTCCATTTCTCATGTGCCTTGTTGATGTGGGCACAGCTCTCGCACACGAGCCCTGGTTCCCGGCGACGTGGGAAACGCAGGACCCACCAGCGGGCTGTCGTGTAGCCGCTGTGTGACTCGTGATGACCACGGTGCAGGTTTTCTAGGATGGCTGAGCGCGCGTGCTTTTCAGTGAAAATGGGATAGCTACAGGGGATTAACTTTTATACTCCCAAGTGGGTTTTCATATAAACACCTTTGGTAGTGTTGTTATGAGACCACATCTCGGTTTGGGGGGAGGTGGGTGGGAAACAGACATCGTTCTAAGCACAAGCACCGCCACCACCTGGTAACAATTCTGTCTCAGAAACACACTTAAACCAACTTTTAAAAAAAGGGCAAAGTTTAAGAATTATAAAATGGCCCTGGCCGTTTTTGCTCAGTGGTTAGAGCATCGGCCTGCGGTCCAGAGAGACCCAGGTTCGGTTCCCGCTAAGGGTGTGTACTTCGGTTGCAGTTTGTCCCCGGCCCTGGTTGGGTCGTGCGGGAGGAGGCCACTCGATGTGTCCCTTTCACGTCGATGTTTCTCTCTCCCTCCCATTCTATCTGAACAAAAAATGGAAAAATGTCCTCGGGTGAGGATAAAAAAAAAAAGTATTATAAAATGTAGGTAGTGAATATAGGTGTTTCACTGTATAATTCTTTCAACTTTTTGCATCTTGGAAATGTTTTAAAAACTGTCGAGAATGCAGGGCCCCTGATGGTAGAGAAGAGGCACTGCCTGGGCAGGCAGTGGGAGAAGTGGTCACTGTTCCAAGTGAACCTACTGGCCACTTGAGCAGCCTCTCTGCCTGGTCTTACCCTTTCCTTTCTCATTCCAAGGAGCGACGGACGCACACTACGCGGAACGGAGTCTAAGGCAGAGCTGGGCGACGAGCTTCCTCACCACATGTCCCACAGGCCTGAGCCAACAACTGCTCGCAGACGCCTTGCTGCCGCCAAGGAAAGGGGTATCTAATACTTGATTAAAACGAAAAAAGATGAACAGATACCTTTGTGGCGACCAAGAAAAACTGGGGATGTTTGGAGCATGCATTTATAAATGGGCGATGTGTTTCTCTTCATTTTTCTGAGTTAAAAATCAAAGATTTGAACGTTAGGATCACTGTGTTCCATTTGTCTTTTTTTTTCTACTCCTTTAAAAAAAAATTTTTTTTTTTATCCTCACCCGAGGACATTTTTGCATTTATCGTCAGATAGAGCTGGAGGGAGAGGGAAGAAGAGAGAGAAACATGGACGTGAGAGAGACATCGAGTGGCTGCCACCCACACGACCCCAACCGGGGCCGGGGACAAACTGCAACCGAGGAATGTGCCCTTATTGGGAACCAAACCCAGGTGTCTCTGGTCCATGGGCCAACCGCTGAGCCAAATCGGCCAGGGCTCTACTCCTCATTTTTTAATTGACCTTTTCTTTCTAATTGAATGCCTTTGAACCATGTTTTCCCCCTCCCCCTAACATTTCCAGGCTGCATCTGGTGGTCAACATCCTGTGGCTGCTCTGTGATGTGCCCCAACTGGTTATGTTGTTCTCACTTTGGATTCTTCTCTTTAACTAACTGTTGGTTTCATTGTCCTCGGGATAAATTACAACTCAGGAGGCCCTTCACAACCTGACCTTTATGTGATTTCCCAGTTTCACTTAAGAACTGCCTGACTATGCTGCATACCTGCAGTTCCGTGCACAAATGTCACACACTCTTTGCCCTCGAGGACTTTTTGTGCTTTGCTCTTGTACCAGGGATACTGGGAGGTTCCGTTCCTTTCCCCTCCTCTTGGAAGGTGGTCTCAACGTCTAGGACGGGCATAGGTGTTCCTACTCTGTATTTCCCTAGGACCCTACACTTGCCCATTAGAGCACTTACCACACTCGACTGCCGTTAGCTACGCACAATCCTAAATCCATCACTGCTCAGAGGGCCGTGTCTCACTCAGCGTCTGACACACAGTAGGTGCTCAGTAGTCTTTGTTTAATGAATAAATAATGAGTGAAAGGACAAATGAGTGAATCAGGGAGAGAGAAAAGGGGAAAGGTGACACTTAACAGTTTCATTGAAAGTGTACAATTCAGTTGTTTTTAATTATCTCTCTGGATCGGTCAATTTGAAAGGTAACTTAGTTACAGGGGAAGATATTGAATTGAAAGTTGACAAAAGCTTAGTTTATTCTAACTTTATTAAGAGAACAGTACTTCTGTTGTTACAAGAATACAAAATATTATTTTAAATATATTATTTAAAGCCAGTAATTTAACATTTAAATGAAAAGCTGTAAGCATGCCATAGGAACGAAGGAGATTTTTGTGTGTGAATCACGAATACAGGTTCCTCTCTTAATTTAAATGCTTACCTGAAGTGGTCTGCAATGTGTCAGCCTTCAGTGGTCTGCAATGTGTCAGCCTTCAGTGGTCTGCAATGTGTCAGTCTTCAGTGGTCTGCAATGTGTCAGCCTTCAGTGGTCTGCAATGTCTCAGCCTTCAGTGGTCTGCAATGTGTCAGTCTTCAGTGGTCTGCAATGTATCAGCCTTCAGTGGTCTGCAATGTGTCAGTCTTCAGTGGTCTGCAATGTGTCAGTCTTCAGTGGTCTGCAATGTGTCAGTCTTCAGTGGTCTGCAATGTATCAGCCTTCAGTGGTCTGCAATGTGTCGGTCTTCGATTATTGCACATCAGTCCCTTCAGCAACACCCTTGTGTTTGTGTGAGTTCCTGTATGTGTCTGTTTAGTTTCCTGTCTGTGGAAGAGGGGTGGTAGGTAGGGCTGGGGCTTCGAATGCCATACCCATCGCTTTCTCTTTCGGGAAGTATATTCAAATCTTCGCTTCATTTTACTCATCAGAATGAGGAGTTTGATTGCATTTGTGTCTTCTCTTTCTCAGATGGAGCTGGTCATGCCACAAATAGTAAAGAATAAAACTGTGGATAATAAAAGAAGTGTTTGGAATGACACATTCCGCTGAAATCAAATCAACAAATACAGTCGTCCCTCGGCACTTCGCGCTTTGACTTGCGTGGCGTCACTGTCGCTGTATATACAGTATCGTATTTGAAAAAACCGCATTAGAGTGACGCCGTGCAAGTCGGAGCGCGAAGTGGCAAGGGACGACTGTGTATGAAGAATCCTACTTCGCAGAAACTCATTTATCGCGGTGGAGTCCGCAACTGATTAACCAGACAGACGAGGGCCGGTTGGACTTACTAGGGCAGGCCCTGCACCATCGGAGACACAGGAGCCCTGGCCATAGTCCTCGTGGCACCAAACTCTAACCAGTTCCGGGGAGTCAGGCACAAACACACGGAATGGTGATATAAGACATGAACAGCTATAAAACACGAGCTAACGTAACAGAGGATAAAGGTTTTCAAATGGCTGTTCAAGACAGATGACCTTATTTTCCTAACCAGGAATCATAGCGGGGGCACAGTATCTGTCACTGGAACTGTCTCTGAAGATCCAGGACACAGGGCGCTGGGTACGGGGCCCTGGACGAGGGGCACTGGGCGGGCAATGGAGGGAGTGAGCACGACAGACTCAAGTGTTTGGAAAGTCTTCATTCCACAGAGAAGCGATGACCATCTGTGGCCAGGCAGAGAAGAGGCCGCTCCGGCCCGGGGGAGAGCACAGCACTCATCCGAGGTGAGGAGACTGTAGTGGAGAACGGGGCAGGGACGTGTCTGCAGAGAGGAATCAGGGCCACACCATGGAGGGCCACAGGAAAGCTCAGAGGGAAAGACGTTCCTCAGGAAAGACTGGAGGCTCCTGTGTCGACGACAGAAATGACAAGAAGCTCACAGGGACACCAGAGTGGGCTCTGCGGAGACGCATGGGCCCCGGAAGGACTGAAGGCCAGTGAGGAGGCTCTTAGGAACGTTTCAGGAGGGTGAGGGTCGAGCTGGGGTCCGAGTGACAGGAGACGAGGGACATTTTCAGAGAAAAGCTATCAGGAAAGGATTCTGCATGGAGAGAGGTTGGGGCAACAGGCACGGAAGATGAAGTTTTAGGAGAGGCGGAGAAGATCTGGAGCTTCATCTGTAAGTACCACGTGACAGAACGAGGAAGGAGTTGCCCCAAGCTCCCCTCCCCCAGCCCGCCTCCAGCGGCCGCCCCAGGACCCTAACAGACTGCTGTGATGCGGAAGTCGGACCGGACCGGACAGAGGACAGGTTGGAAACAGCCCCAGAGAGGAAGCTGAGTACAACTCTGAGATAGGAAGGAGGGAAGGAGGAAGGAAGACACCCAGACAGAGAAGTTCTGAAATGAAGAAGGGAGCTCGAGGAATTTGTAACACCTCGATTCTCAGCCAAGTGAATGCAGACATAGGAACAAGGAGTGTGGGGAAGCCTTCAGGCTTTTTGCCGGAGGTTCACTAGAGGTGACAAGACAGAAGTCCCACGACTACACAGGGAAGGCCAGTGCAAGCACTCGCTGTGAGCGACAGAGAAGACAGATGTGAGACTCCCCCAAACAGCTCTGACGAGGCCTGTTTGATAGAAGGGCAAGAAGCTGATGGATTCCAGGGACTGATGGAGGTGAGCTCAGCAGCGGCCTACAGGTTGCAGGTGCAGTTAAAAGAGAGGCAGGTAGGTCAGAAGTAGAAATCGAAGGTCTTGGGACTAGATGTAAAAACGGCAGCTAAAAGCAGGGCTGGTGGGAGGAAGGAAGCAGAATGGCTGGAAAGGGTAGAAATTGTCAGTGGGACAGACATCGGAGTCTGGGACCCCAGCAGGAGTGAGTTGCAGTGAGGTGTTAGAGACACAGAGAGCAGAACTCTGGATACAAGAACAACACAGATGTGGATGTCACCGGATGACAATAGCGAAGGATGCTGTGAGACATGTACTAGCGTCACAGAGGCATCAGAGGCCAGGGGATGGTTATGTACGGGCCCTATTTACTCGCAACAACATCTGTCTAATTTGAGAAGGATGTCTGTCTGAGTGCAGGAACACTAAGGCGCTTCTCTACCTCTTCAGAAGTCCTGAGACTTATAGATGGCACAGTCACTTCCAACGTCCCATTCCATCCTCTTGAAAAAGTGGACCATGGTGCTTTCCGTCAGCAGGCCACACAAGATGGCCAAGAAGGAGAGCTTTCGGTTGATGTTCAGTGTCACTGGAGAAGAAAAAGCAACTGATAAGTTCTTTAGAGTTATAAAGACAATAGCAGAAAAAATGGATACTCTCGGTTTTATAGTTGACAAGATAATAAGCATTATGATAAAAAGTATCAGGTAATAGCTCATTTAAAATAGCACTTCTCACAATGTGTGGGAAAATGAAGACAAACAGGGTGGCTTATCTCTCCCTCGGTATCGCAGAAATTGTCCTGACTTGACAACTGCCCGGCCGTGTAAATTTGGACAAATCATTCATAAAGTGGAGGTGATAAAGGCTGCCCTACTAACCCCACAGGACAGAGACAATGCATATGAAAACCAAATAGTACCATGTGGTTAAACTGAACACATACTAAATACGTGCTACATAGAAAGCACTATAGAAATGTTAGGCACTGTCATTATTCTATAAAGATTTCTATAAAAACTGTGATCTAGAAATAAAAGACTGTAAGCTTTTATATGTGTGGAAAGCTGAGAAGACAGAATAAAACACAAACATACCTCTAATTGCCTGAAAATTTGATGTAAGGACAAATACTTTAATGAGCCTCAGGCACAGTGGTGTGTATTCATGCTCCCAAATGACAGCTGGGATCAGCAGGAGTTTTCCGTAGCTAGACAACAACAATGCTTTCAGCAGCAAAACCAAGTTGGGTTTTTTTTTCGTTGTGATGGATCGTTCTACCCACAGGAAAGTAAAAATGCCAATAAAAAAGGCAGCTTGTTCTAAGAAGGAAACGGGGAATAAAAATATGAACGTCCCTATGCAAAAAAAACATATCCCCATGAACACCAACAAACCACAACCCCCAAATATAACCTATCAGCTGACTTCATTAAGAAATGCTTTATCAGATCAAAATTTTTCCCTTCCTCCTTCTGTGTCAAATCCTGCTAGTAAGATTTCAGAAATCATACTCGACAATTCTTCCATGAAGTATTTCATCATTCACTGAACAAAAAGGAACTCCATCAGAATTACAGTCATCAATTTTCTGAAGTTCCTTCTTAGAAGATTCTGTTTGACCAAATTACATAGGAAAACATTTTTTTTTTTGGTTCATTCTTCTACTATTTATTTTGAATGCTGTCACCTACGTTAAAACTTCCCTTATTGATTTTAACAAACTTTGAGTGCAATTCCTTATCCTTCCCGGAACTGTTTATAGACAGAGTCTGTGAAGCAGCTCACCTTTAGCAATGTAAAGAGGCTTTGCTTTAAAGCTTAAAATTATATTAGGTTCTACCTTTTGGCTTAGGTGATGTGTTTAAGGATATTTTAAGTATTACTATGAACATTTGGGAATGCTTAGCATACAGATAAAATTTAAAACCACGCGGCTAGCCCTGGCCGGTTTGGCTCAGCGGTTAGAGCGTTGGCCTGCGTTCTGGAGAGACCCAGATTCGGTTCCCGCTAAGGGCACGTACCTCAGTTGCAGTTTATCCCCAGCTCTGATTGGGTCATATGGGTGGCGACCACTCGATGTGTCCCTTTCATGTCGATGTTTCTCTCTCTCTCTCTCCCTCCCTCCCACTCTATCTGAACAAAATATCAAAAAATGTCCTCGGGTGAGGATAAAAAACAAAACAAAACACCACGGGGCTGGATGAGAGGGCAGACAGAAGAAAAGGGGACAGAAGAGGGCATCAGTCCAGAAATATGACACAAATTCAAATTCTGAAGAAAAGCACCTCTTGAATTTAAGAAATTTCGGTAGTAGTCAATTTCCCTGTATGCAATCAGATAAATAAGTTTTCCCTGTTAAATATATTGCATTAGTAGAATACAGTGGATAATGCCTGGCAATTATCAATCTGTTTTAATAAAGATGGGGCCCAGGTCATCTTCAAATTGGAAAGAACTTAAGTTTAAGAATTTTATCAAAAATAGTATGTCTCAAACTATTTTATAGAAACTCTTCAGTCTGACAATATTCATCAGATGGGTAAAGACCATTTAATCTGGTGGTATTTCCAAAGCATAGGTGTGGTAACAAATAAAAAGGTAAAAAAGCAGATAATTTAGAAAAACTCACTTAGCAGGTTAGTGGGGGAACTGAAAATTCAGTCTCAAGTTCTGTATTAACTAGCTCCTCTTACCATGTATCTTATTTTAATCACAAGAGCAAGTACTAGTTAACTAAGAATAGAAACCATGGCTTGTTCCTACCTAGAGAAGCAATTGCAAACATTCTATAGAAATCCCATTCCTTCGCGTATCTGATGAAGTCGTCAGGATCAGTGTTCTGGCTTGAATCTTGAAGCTGCCACCACCTCAGGTATGCTTCACAAAGCAGACAAAATATGCAGAGTTTTCCATGCATCTGGCAGTCAAAAGATCAGCTGGTCAATTAGGTGAAGCAGCACTTAATACCAATAGCTACAGACACAGTATGTATTTGTGGTTTTGAAAAATGTCCAATCTAGTAGCTTTTCAAATTCCAAATTGCCCATTTCAGTGCATAATTGTATTTAATCAAGTTTCATTTAATTAAACCAGTGGTTCTTAATTAGCAATGTCTTCATTAGAATCACATTGGGAGACTTTTCAAAATACCAATGTCTAGGCCCCATTACTGATTCAGTTTTTGGAGGTACATTCTAGACATGCATACTTTGTAACAGTTCTGGAAAGAGGGGGGATCTGAATGTGCACCCCTAGTTAAGAATCACAGCTTTAAATAGTAGTTCACCCTTCATTAAATTTTCAACATTTGTCCTATAGACAGAATCAAACACAGAATTTATGTGATTTGTGGGTAGATGAAGTAGCAAAAGAGAAATGATTTAACCTGAAGATTCCATGATATTGCATAAGAAACTACTGGTCTCAACATTAATTTTTAAAAATGCCCCTAGACTGGATGAATACAAATTAATATCTTGAAAAACAGCACGTAAAAGGTGCAAGTCAGATGGAAAAGGGTGTGAAATTTTTAGCAAAAACAGGAAATATTAGGCAACAAGAATTGTTTTTTCCTACCTATTTCTCCTATGGGTTGAACTTTATCAATACAAATTGGAAATGGTGTGTGCAAACTTGATGGGGAACTCAAGAAGTTAAAAATGTTTTAGTTCTAGACATATATTTAATAGGCTTGGCAATTAAAGCACGTAGAAAGCTATTGTTCCAGGGATTGGAATGTATGACTGGACCTGCTCTGACTTCAGGAAACCTTTGTGCCCCAGGAGGACTGCAAGCCACCAAGACGGTGTCTGAGCTATTGTGTGTGTTCCAGGGACAGACCGTCAGCCAGCCACCCAGGATACAGATAAAGAATCACCAGTCAGCAGACGAAGGGAAGCTCGGAAAATCGCCAGGCTGCACCTCTTATCTGATTAACCTCTTCCCCTGAATTCCAAACCCCTTACCTACTTTCTCCTGAATTATAAACCCTTTACCTATACTTTTCTTCTCCTTATAAAAAGGGTCAGCTTGGAGTGAGCAGTAACATGATCTTTTTAGGGTACATAACCCACCAGCTTCTCAGATCGCTGGCCATCTGAATAAAGTGCTCATAAAGATTCAATCCTTGTCTCTACTTACTGGTTCTGGTAATGACAGGTAGCAGAATGCCAAGGTTTCAAACCCACTATAGTCCTGGGACAGGCGTCAGTGTGAGCTCCAGCCAGCACACTGGTTCTGCACTGTGGAGTTTTGAGAAATACTAATGCCTGGACCCCGTCTCCAAAGATTCTGATTTAATTCGCTTTGGTTGAGGCTTTGACTTGGAAGGATTAACCACAATCCCCTCCCTCCCTTCCAGGTGATTCCAATGTGTAGCAAAGTTTGAGAATCAATGCTCTAGTAATTTAAAAACTACCCTGGTTATTTAACTTGGGGGAGAGGGACACAGGAATAAATACATTTCACTGTTACTGTCCATGGTAGCCCAAATTCAGGACACCCAGTTAAATATGAGTTTCAGATAAATAATTTTTTTTGTATACGTATGTTTGATGCACTATTTGGGATATATATTAAAACTTACTTGTTGTTTATCTGATTTTCAAATTTAATTGGGTGTCCTGTATTTTATCTATCAGTCCAACCCAAAACTACCGAAGTGTTCAAATTCAATACACTGAATGTATATTTTGAAAAATCCAACTTTATAAATTAGGACTTTTCTGATTAAGTTCAATGTTGTTATTCACCTCATGCATTGCCTTAAAGAGCAATGTATAAAATGGAATTAATTATGTTTTAAAAAAATTTTCTTTTAATGTTTGCTTATTTCTTACAGGTGCAAATCTCTTCCTACTTGGATATATTTAATTTTGTTCTATTAAAAATAATTGATGTCTGTTTCAAAAGGTAACTTACTAAAAGGCAACCTAGATTATAGCTTGCCAGTTTCTTACCAGTGACCACATTCTTAAATATTCACTACACATTGTGCACTTAAAAAAAAAAGATTATTTCTAGAAACTTGCACACATTGTCAAGTAAAACACCCACTCACATTAGGATTTCTGTATTAATAAAATGTTCTGTAATTCTGTTCAAAATTACTATTCTTTTAAAACACAAAAGTATCAAGAAATATTAGAAACAAATGATCATAACTTACGTTTATTTTAGTATTGAAAAGAATATGCCTGTAGGCCTGGGCTTTGCATAGAATAGCATTAATCAAAATTATAACAAGATCATACTCGATATATTTGTCTACAGGTTTCTGGCAGGATTTCTGAAATAATGCAAAATTATATTAGAACAAGCAAATTCATACATTTTGAACTCTTAAGGATTTCAAAATAACAATCTATTTTAGACTTGTATAGCAATAAGGCCATGTCAGCATTTATTTAAATAAGTTTTCATCCAGATACAAATTGTTCATCTATTCAAGACATGCTTTCAGAAATAACTAAATGCAATCTCCTAGGCTAGAAATATTAATCTCTTAATCTCATAGTTAAGAAGTTAAAAAGATACTTGATTTAAAGACTAATTTTAGCAGGAAAGTATCCAAAAAAATTCTACTGAAAGTAGAATTGAAAATTTGTAGGATTTGTTATAAATTTATAATGTACTTTCACTGATCATTGTTGCCTGTTGGCCAGACAGCCCCACCTTTGTGTTTCTCGAAACATGATTTGGAGAAAAGGGTCCAGAGAACTAATCCTGCACCCAGAACTTCTGAGAGCTACAAGTGCATAAAGAATGTGGCAGTGCCAACAATCCTAGGGTGGCCTCCAAGAGAAGCCTTTTTTCCTCCCAGAACACTGGAGAGTACCAGCTGTGTGTAATAAGTGGGGTTGTGCAGCCTGGTTCTAGGTTATCAAATCAAGGCTTTCTGGGTCAATTCCTAGTAAATGTGTGTTTTTGGATACATGTGATTACCATGTTATCAAATCCCAACACCACTAGAACATAAAATGCAGGTGTAACCCTGGCCAAGTAGCTCAGTGCTTAGAATGTCGTCCCGATATGCCAAGGTTGTGGGTTTATTCCCAGTCAGGGCATATGCAAGAATCAACCAATAAATGTATCAATAAGTGGAACAACAAATTGATACTTCCCTCTCTCTCTCAAATCAATTAATAATTTTTTTTAAAAATATAGGAACAAGCTCACTAGAAGTGAACTTGAAACAGTATTAGTTATAAAGTTTCATCAATAATAGCTACCATTCAAACACAAAACATTTTGAAACTTTGAGAGGATGAAAGAGAAATAGAAAAAGTGATATATATGCACACATACTAGGATGGCCTTTTAATTACATCTAAGTGGTGAAGAAATATGAAGTGCACTCAAGAGTAGTAACCCTGCACCACCAGATTCACTTCCAATTTACAGTCTCTCCACTTCATTCATGTCACTGCAAGATGTGAGTACAGTATGTTTTTCCAATTATCAAGTGAACCAATGAAAGGAGATTTGCCTGCCTGGCCAGTGTGGCTCAGTGGACTGAGCTTCAGTCACATGGACTGAGGGGTCCCAGTTCAATTCCCGGCTTTCGGGCTCGATCCCCAGTAGGGGGCATTCAGGAAGCAGCCCATCTATGTTTCTCTCTCACATTGATGTTTCTCTCTCTCTCTCTCTCTCTAAAGAATCAATAAAAACATATATATTTTTTAAAAAAAGGCTGTGGCAATACCTCAAATTTAAACCACCTAATAAAGCTGAGGCATGAGAGGTTAGTAATTTTGCAGCTTTTTAGCTGAGCAAAGAGTAAGCCAGTGTCTAAACAGAAGCCACAGAATCAGAAATTCTACATTTATGACAAAGGTTTTTCTAGATCTCCTCCCTGTGCCACTCATGTGGAGAACATGTCCTCTCTTCATATGAAAGAGACAAGAAGACCAGAAATGCTACTTATTTTAAAAATGAAACTGCTAACTGGTTAAGGGTCCTCTCTCTAAAACCCATCTTCTATATACAGCATCACAGGTCTAAGATAGGACTTAGACAGTTTTAGAAGGAGGTAGGCAGAAACCACCAGCAGGTTATTCCTTTTGCAATCACTTGTCTGACAAATGCTTCTGGAGTGGACCCCAGATGGCATTCAGGGCCTACATGAGGTTAGTGCTCACAAATGTAAGGTATTTCCTCTCAACACTACAGCTGAAAAGGGTGTAGGAACAGATCAGACAATATGTTGGATTTAACCAGATTTGAAATTCTTCCTAGTGAGGGAAACCATTTGAGAGGAACATAAATCGAGGAGGATGCATGCAATAAATAGGTACACATTCACACCTTGTCTACTCCCTTGTATGTAATCACCAGGAGATCTGAAACACACAAGAACATACTGATTGCCTATCATGTGACAGGTTCTCTGCTAATGTCCTCAATTTTGTGACTTTTTAAACATAAGATCATTCCCTATAAATAGACTATGAATACCTTGAGAGCAAAATTATTATTTCCTCATGTTTAAATTTTTGAATACCAATGTCTAGCATGGTGCTTTGCACACAATATTGTACGTTCAATAACCACAATGGATGGAACCTAAAAAAATATTTCAGAATTTAATATGGGTAAGAATGCTAACACTTGTCTATCAAGGGGAGAATATCCAAAAATAAAATAGCTTTAGTGTGAACCCAAATGTCAACCTAATCCGATCTTGAAACTTCTTTGTACAACACCTACAATCCCTCTGCGCCCGAGGCCCGTTTGCCAGGTTAGGTCTCACCAGCAAACATGACCGATTCAGAGAAAAACTGTACGGTAGTGAGTCTTCTATCACCAAAGGTATTCATATAAAGGTTTGACAGACTTTGGACGGGTCTGTCAAGCAACTGAAGACTGTACTAGAAGATCCTGAAACTTGATTTGTATCACCCTGAAAAGCTGGTCCAGATTGGTCCCCAAATCTCGCCACGCCACTTTCTTCCCAAGGACACCCCCGCTGACAACTCACGCAGATGGTTATCTTCAGCACGCCGTGGCTGTAGTCTCGGTACAACTCCTTGGCCTCTTGATTGCATTCGATACATCTGTACTGGCAGACGGCCGAGGCGGCAGCAGCAGCAGCAGTAGGAGTCGCTGACACCTCTTCGGTGTTCTCCTGGTCCGCTGTCACCCCCTCCGGATTCCTCTTGCCGGGCCGTAGCCCACCCCGCCCACCAGTGCCCATTTCCACGCAACTGAGACCCAGAACTTCCGATACAGTGGCGGGGCAGACGTCAGACGCCAGACCGGAAAGTCTGCGTCGCGCGGTGCTTGCTGGAATTCGTAGTCTCCACATCCGAGAGGGGCCCCGAGGCTGGTCCAGCCTGGACTACAACTCCCAGCAGTCAATGCCTATTTCCTCTCCTCCCCCGTTTCACCGCCCACAGGCCCGCCGCGGGTTAAGTCTAGGAGGCCGCTGCGCGCGGCGAGGGCTGCCGCACATGCGCCTTGAGGGAAGATGGCACCTGCCGGCTGCTGCTGCTGCTGCTGCTGCTGTTGCGGCTGGGGAGGCGCTGTGGCCGCCGCGGGCGCCGCCCGGCGCGTCCTGGTGCTGCTGCTGCTGGGGATCCTGCCCGCCGGGCCGTGCCCGGTCGCCTTGGCCACCGAGCATTATACGCCGCTATCTCTGCTCAAACAGGAGCTGCAGCACCGGCAGCAGCAGGAGGCCCCGGCGGGCGGCGGCTGCAGCCCGCTGTCTGGGGACTGGGGGGACCAGTACTCTGCCGAGTGCGGCGGTGAGTGGGCGGCGGCGGGCGGGCGTCCGGGTCGCCGCGAGGCTGGCGGGGCCATGGGGGCTGCGGGCCGCCGGGGTCTCTCCGACGCTGGCCGCGGCGTGTGCTCCTGCGTGAGCCGGCTCCGCGAGCTGTCACTCCGGGGCTGCTTCCCGCCGCTCGCACCCTCGCCGCTGCGCGCCCTCCTCTCAGAGCCTCTTTGGGAAGGGCAGTGAATAGAGAAAAGCGCTGACAACATGCTCCCGGGGCCAGGGCGGCCTCTCCGGAGCCCTAGCAACTGTGGAAAGTGTTGTGGAGGAGATGGCAGGTGTCCGGGGCAGCCCCTGTTCCCGTTCGGACCCCCATAGGTGCCGTGGGAACCAGGGAGGGACTGACGGACGGAGGAGGACGCGGGCCCAACTGCAGGGCCCGCACCCGGAGGAGGGATGCCTGGCCCATGTTACACCTGGAAATCAGGTTTCCTGCCTGCCCGGGCCGATGGCTTGTATTAGACGCAGCCTCTGAAAATTCGATCCCTGGAAGAAAGAAGAGAACAAAAGAGCAAGCCCGTTTTATCTGCTCGCTGACATCTTGCTTCCGGTTGTTTGTTAAGATTGACCTGTGATCTGTCAGGTGTTTCCCAGAAGGTAAAAAGGGCCATGCAGGCCTTGAGCCTGCGTAAGTGTCAGAGCTGTGTGTGTAGTGAAACTGGGCCAACTCATTCATTGAGATAGGGCGCTGTTGGCCTCAGTCTGTAAGTCATGAGAGATGCGGCCAGGGCAAAATACATGTGTACGTTTTTGTTTTGAAGTTCTGCAGTGGATGTTTTCACCCTTCAGTCCCCTCCCTCCCTCCCTCCCCCCCTTTTCCCTTCCCTCCCTCCCCTTTCCCTTCCCTTGTGTGAGTTGCCTTAAGGCTAGCTTTGAAAAAGTCTGGGTCTCACCTAACTCACTTTATGAGGTTGCTTTTATGGCCCAGACAGCAGTGTTTAGCATTATGTACCTGGAAGACAATTGTTTTTTAGTTAAGATGAGATGTCAAGATTAGCACACTCTGATTTCCTTTTAGCATAATCTGACTTCCTTGAGGAAGTCTCACTCACTGAGGGGTATGTGACTTATTGTGTAGCAGGCCTTGGCTAGTAACAGTATGAATACAGGGCCAACATTGTATAGTGCAAAAAGAATGGATTTTACCTCTGTCGCTTTCTGTGACTCTGAACAAATTAATTGCCTGTCTTTGCAAACTTGCCTCCTCTGTAAGTTGAAGACACTATTTCTTAATTATAGGGTTTTCTTTTCTTCATAAGAGTACCACGAGGAAAACGAGAAATAGCTAACATATATTGGGAGCTTGCTGTGTGCCCCATGCTGTCGTAAGAGCTTGAGGTCAATTAGCTGCTTCTCTTAGTCTGTCACAACACCAGTGACTACCTCATTGAATGGTAGGTAGCTCCTTGTCTCAGATGAAACCCAGGCACATCCCTTTCCTGAAGTCCCACAGCTGCAGAAGGGGAGCTGAGGTGGTTAGGCTCCAGATAAAACTGTCTTAAACACTAATTGGTTGTAGGTAGGGAAACACATCTGTAGTATTTACTAGCAAATAGTGTGTATTGTGTAAATCTTCATTTCCCCTTCCTTCCTATAGTCATGTGATGCTCACTGGTTACAGTAGACCCAGATTCTAGACAATGAAATATACAAATCGATTTATACTATGAAATCAATTGATATCATTGATCCAGGTGGCTCATTTCACTCTGTGGCATCAGGCTTATGCCAGTGTTTTTAAGAGTCCTCATTTGAGCCAACTCTGACCTGTACTTTCCCCCCAGATGAAGATTGATGTGGGTTTTCATAAACTAGGCATTTGGAGGAATCATCCAGTCCATTCCGCAATTCCCTCACGTATGGACACCATTATCTAATGTTCTCTGCATTAGAGGATGGACACTGTGCTAGGAGGCTTTAATCATAACTATTTCACAGTTTCCATTTTCTTTTTATTTCCCCCATGTAGTACTTCTTTTCTTAACTTGGACTTTAAAGTGTGCTGTTGCAAATGAGTGGCATTAAGTCTTTCAGACAGCCTCCCTGGCTGACGGGAATGTGCCGTAGCTGCTGACAGGTGCTAACGTGGCTAACGTGGCTTTGCCACTGTTGTCAGCCCCAGTAAATAATTCCCAGAGTCAACTGCTTGTGCTAGTCGGGGCTCCAGCTGGTTCCTGTGACTTTACTGCCTGCAGCATGTGTGGTGGAAACTCCGGAATGTCTCATTTCTCCTTCCTTATCCTGGACAAGCAGGCAGACGCCACACCCTCTGAAACCCGCACTAGCCCCTCTCTGCCCTAAGAAGAACAGATGTAGGAACAAATTCAGGATTTACAACTAACTATCACAGCCCAAGGGGCTCATGTCCTGTATCCAGAACCCCCATATGATCAACATAAAGGGTCTAGATTAGTGCCAGGATCCAGAACTACTCAGTTCTTCAGAATCAGACAGACTTGACCTCACCAACTATTATCATGCCATTGGACTTGGTGGCCTGTGTGTCCACAAACCTGTCCGTGTCAAGCCAGTCCCCGTACAGAGGGCAGACACAATAGCATGACCGCTTACAGAAGCCTTCCCACAGCTTTTGGATTCAGATGGATGAGTCAGTGCCTGCTTGGGTCTAAATCTGAATACTGCTACTGAGCTGTATATGTATTCTCTTAAGACAGAACCCCAGTGATCGGGGGCCAAAGACCACGGCTGGTGGTAGCCCATTGGACTGAATAGCACACTGGCAGTGGCTGACCACACTGTGTGGACCACCAGTAAGTGGAATCCAGGCTTGGAGTAGCTGGACGTCAGTGGGCTGAGCCCCACGAAGGTCCAGCTGCAGAGACGGCAAGTGCGGATGATCTGGGTGCTGGTCTCTTCCTGAGCATGACTTACCCAGGCCCCTCTGCTGGTCTTCTCTAGCTCATTTTTACCTGCACTTTTTATTTGAAAAGCATGTACAGCCACAAACTTCTGATTGTCTCTCTGTTTTCTTATGGTGAAAATAACCTTACTCTTTTTTTAAAAAATGAAGACTGTAGCCCTGGCCTGCTCAGCAGTTGGAACGTTGGCCTGCGGTCCAGAGAGACCTGGGTTCGGTTCCCGCTAAGGGCACGTACCTTGGTTGCAGTTTGTTCCTGGCCCTGGTTGTGCAGGTGGCAACCACTCGATGTGTCCTTTTCACATCGATGCTTCTCTCTTTCTCTCTCTCTCTTCCTCCTACTCTATCTGAACAAAATATGGAAAAATGTCCCCAGGTGAGGATTAAAAAAGAAAAAAAAAGACTGTAATGTACATATTTTTCAAATAAAAATAAATTTTTCTTGTTACCTTTGCCCTGTTATTAGTTTGGAATTGTGGGAAGAAATAATGAACAGAAGTTTTTCCTCAATTCTTTCCCTCAGTTTTAAACTTGTAAACACTATGTACATTCTTTTTTAATGCTCATGATACTGAAGTAGGTACTGTTTTTATTCCCATTTTATCTAAGGTGAAACTGAGGCAAAGAGAAGTTAGGAGAGGTTACACAGTAGAGTAGAGACAGGATTTGAACCTGGCTTCCTGAGCATTTATTTGTGCCTTATCTCCTCTGTAATGTTTACATATTAGTAATTTCTTACTAATATTAGTGATAAATTCCAACATCCTTAAGCATTGTTTGTTATAGATTATATTTTTAAATAACTTCTAGAATTTAATATTTACATACATAAGGATGCTTCGCTGACCCTAATGTTTTGCCCTCTAGAGCTAGGATGGTTCTGTTGTTTGACCGAAGAGCTTCTTCTGTGCCGCTAGATGCCACTCAATGTCCTCAGACCCTGGGGACACAGCACAGCTGGCTGAGTTCCCGAGAACCTGTGCTCTGGTGTGCGGAGAAGGCAGTCTGTGGCAGGCCTGGAGCTAAGTGCCCTGAATAAAGAGCAAAGTGAGGAGGCCATGAGCGGTGGCCAGGGAAGGCCTCTGGTCAGGTGACATGCACAGGGACTTGGAGAGAGTGAGATTTGGAGAGATGTTAGTGATACCTTAATTTGACACCCTAATGTAACAGAGCTGATCCATTAATGTCTGATTGTTTCCAAAAATCCTTTTGTTTTTCTTCTTTGAAATTGTAGTATTAATAAGAACAGTGCATTTTTGTGATTTTTTTTTTTTCTCTTTTTATTGCCTTCTTGAGATCCTGTCTATTCCTACGTGAGGTAGTGGTTGTACTTTTTCTTTATTCTAGTTTTCAAATAAACTAACTGGTGACTACCTGCACTTAATGCCTCAGTCAAGTTCAGTGAGTAATTTATAACCTGAAGTCATTTTCTTTAGCTTGTTGACATGAATAACCCCAGATTTGAGTTTATTTCTCTATCGTTCGAGGAAAGAGCATTTGTGACTGTTTGCCTGATTTGGGAGTTAATTGCAGAAAAATAATGAAGTAGCTAGCACTGTAGCTCTGTTTTTGACCAAGTCAGTAAGACTTAAAGATTGTCAGTACAGATGGTATCTTTCTTAACTGAGGAACCAGTCCTTTAAATAAGTGAAATTGGTCCAATTGCTCAAAGCACTTCAGCCTCAGAGGTGATAAGGAATCAGCAGAGAGCTGTTTACTTTTTTGTTCTAGCTACTAGGAAGTTAAGGACTAAATTTTATGCTCAGTAATGGCAATTGTGGTAACCCTTACTGTGAGTATGTATGCTCAATCCTTTTTTTTGCTTTGGTCCTGATTTTCTGTGTTTGTTATCATACACAGTTTTGTGGCAGATCTCTTCTGGTCTTTTTTTACAGCATACACGAGCAAATTTGCCAGTGTAAAGTAGCTGGCAGAGACTGAAGCACAGGGTGAGGAAGAGATTCAGATGTTGGGTTTTTTCTGTTTGTTTTTTTAATATTTGTTTCTTTATTAATTTTTAGAGAGAGAGGAAAGGAGAGGGAGAAAGATAGAAACATTGATGAGAGAGACACATCAATTGGTTGCCTCCTGCACAA